AGTGAAGTTGCTTCTTCCGGTTTCCGACAATGCAATAAAATCCAAATGATGTTCGAGAGAAGCCTCTGCTAGAAATCTTCTTTTAGCCAAGTCCCTAAGACCTCTGCTATTCCAGAAAATGCCTCTCATAATTCATCATGAAATTTTTTTGCAGTGCGGATCCTAGCACTCCTACGTGCTGCCGAGACGGGATAAACCTTCCGTTTCCACGTCCGTTTTGGCTTAGGGAGACCATCAGCCCGATCAGCACAGTCATTCTCTGCTTCTAGTGCCTCGGGCTCGTCTACATGAAGAGACACCTCAGGAATGGTGTCCTCCTCCGTCTCGTGTAGTGCAGGGTCAAGATCGGCACACAAGCCATCAAAAACCCTAACCCCAAGCGCATCTATCTCCGAGTCGTTCATAGGTTTAACAGCAGCAATGTGCCGGATCATGTCTACCGCACGATCAGCTTCCAAATCAAGAAATTAACCCGCCCATGCCTGATACTGTTATCACATTGTTCTCCGTCTCTTCGGTGTCCAGCCATCTGGTCAGCAATATCCTGTTTTCTTCAATTCCTACTAGATCTTGATCTTTGACAAATTCAGGGAAGCTGTCCTGGGACCACCGTCTTTCCATCTCAGTAAGTGGGTCAGGGACAAGCTGGAAGGGTTGCAACCACCGTTCTTTCAACTTTATAACTTGCTCAATCTCCTCCTCTACCACAACTACCTCATCCGCAATTTGACTGAAAACTGCATAATCTTTTCCTTTAAATATTTTCTTCAGGCGACTTTGTTCCTTATGTTTAAGTACATGGTATGAATATTTATCCATTACATCTTCAACATGGTAGGCCACGTCGTTGCGGACTTCCCCAATCCAATTCTTGACACCTTTGTCAATGAGGTATACAGTATCTATCTGCATTATTACATTACTCATCATAGTCAGTTGCTTTCTTATTTGCTCAACCTTTACCGGCAGTTCCTTCAGATTAGTAACTTTTACGGAGAGCTCAGATATGATGGCCTTGATGACTTCATCTCCTAAAATGCAACCAATCTTCGTCACAGCAAGAAGTACAGCCTCGGCCATTTGAGCTGTTCAGCAAAGATAGTGCATGTTACATGACAGAGTAGAAAAACCATCTAGAATTAACCGAATTAGCTCATGCATGAATAAATAGTAGTTTATACCCCTTGGCCCCTTGGCTCATGCTTGTCGGTGAGGTACATCTAGCTAGCTGGCGAGTGGTGCGTGCGCATCTAGGCTGAGCGGAGCTCGTGGCGGCGTTGGGTAGGCGAGGCCGAGGAGAGAGAGTAGGCAGCAGAGGAGGGGATAATTTGGGCAGAGCATCAGTCAGGTATATGGGCAGTATTTGGTCACGTATTGAAGAAAATGGCATATGTAGAGGTATAGGAAAGTTGTAGTGGCATATTTCCAAGTTTGGTTTTTGTAATGGCATATTTCCAAGTCATGAAAGCTGTAGTGGCATGAATCCAATTAACCCATTTGTCTATTCCCTCCGATCCATTTAATTGTCGCAGATTTAGTACAAGTTAATTTATCACATTTGATAAACTAGAGGGCAAGAGTTATCTTTCGAAAGGGTAACTTTTGATGCCGGTGGTTCACATCATCAGCTAACCAATACTCACCTTGTAGAGACTTGTAGTGTGTGGCCTATGGAGCAGGACGGCGCTTACATGCCGAATGAACGACCAGTGCGATCAATTCTGCAGCATAAGAAGAGAGAAGTCGAACATCAGACTATGCAGGCAAGGACACATAAGCAGGCGCAGTTAAGAGCTTCGACTTTTAAGATGCACAAGATTCACTAGAGGCAAGAACAGGGTGAGATCACTGTACTGTGCATACTACTAGTAGTACAATAAGATTGACCATTTTGGCAGCCGGTCTCGGCCTCTAGTTGGCGGTGGGACAATCTGTCGAACGCATGACAGGCGAAACCTTTTCTCTAGCAAAACTGCAGGCAAGCATCCAAAGCTAAAGCTTATTTGGAAGACATGAAGCCGTGGGATTACGAGAAACTACTACTGTACGTGTGATTGAACTCTCTGGCTCAGAACAGAGTACCTGATGGAAACTACGGGATCTGCAGCGGAGTCGAGGGAGCAGCTTGATCTGCAGTGGACGAGAGCAAGACTGAACCGGGTTGTGAAACTGATTCATGCCAGGGACGGAGCTGTACACGGCATATTGGGCGATGGTTGGAGCTCCATCGGTGGCAGTGGTGGCGGCTGGTGGTGGTGGGCGAGGGGAGAGCGAGATGAGAGGTGGAACAAGATGCGAGCAATGGAGCTACTACTGCAATCATTCAGTGAGCGATGGCGACCTGCTGTATCTCCCGTCTCTTTCTCACGATCAACTTGTTCTTTTCTTAATTCTCGCAGGTCAAGTCGTGCCTCTAAAGCTTTTGATTCATTAGTACTCGTTTAAGACAAGCTGGTCGTGCAAGAACCATTTTTTCTGCAGTGGGTCATGACGACGTCTACGTCGTGACCTTCTTGAAGGCGTCGTTTTGAAGAGGCAACTTGTGGTTGTTGCGTGGGTTTCCTCTACGGTCATGGTCGGTGGGCGTCAGGATAGCGGCCTGGGATGTTTGATGTGCACCGAGGCAGCGGTCTTGGATTTGTCGCGTGAGAACAACTCCATGGGGCAGGGCTTCTGCTCGGCACGGTTTGGGTGGTGACCGTGAGCAGCGAGGGCTGTGAGGTTGTGTCTCGTCGAAACATCCCAGCAGGAACGGCCAGACGACACGTCGAGCGATGGCACTAAAAGTGGTGCGACCGCCATGGTCTGAGGGTCGTGGTCTTATGTAGCTTGGACTGCGGGTAACTGAGTCGTGCACAGTGGTGGAGACAGTGGGGGATCGGCAGGGGACTGGCCCCTCCTAACAACACTGAGTTAGGGCTACTATACATGTGAATAGATGATTATTACGTAGCAGCTAAATAGTGTAATTTAGTGGTCTGGCCCTCCCCAATAAGAATTAAGAATACTCGGCTCCCCTCGCTTATATTTCCTGGCTTTGTCACTGCTTGTGCGGCGTTGCAGCTCGAGAATGGGTGGTGGTATGTCAGGGCGGCATAAAGTGGTGTCGGTGGGCTACGCACAAGCATATGGTGGTTGGAAGTAGGGGTGTCAGCGTAGGAACCAGATCCTCTAACATCCTCAAGGGATGTCACGTAAGCTACAATAACCGTGACATCCCTTTTTCGCATCCATATGGTTAAGCCTAAAATGATTATAATTAATTTGCAAATTGCAAATCTATTGTATACATTTATAAAATTTACATACAAACAAAATTATGATGCAATAAAATTATTTTTTGATTTATTTTTTACATGCTACAGTAAATCCACACAGTAATTGCTATAGTAACCTGACATCCCTTCTTCGCTTTACACACGCACTTCATTGTAGCTTCATGACATCCTTTGAGGATGTTAGAGGATCCGCTTCCGTCAGCTTAAGGCTTTGGCAGCATTGTTGGACTTCGCCTTGCGTCGTGGAGCAGCAAGGTTGTCCTTGATGTTGATCGTCGACATATCAAGCGTTGCTTTGGACGCTGCCTCTGATGGAGTGTTGACTTCTTCACCTCTGTGGGAGTGTTTCAGGGCTGCTTCTTCCATAGAAGTCACAACTTCTCTTTTTGGTGGTAGTGGATAGCTGGCTAGTTTGGCGGTATGGGTTCCTTTTGATTTGTGTGTGTATTTGGTTGGACGTCTCATGTTTATGTTTGTCGTGGGCTTCAGCCCAAGTGTTTGAGGTTTTATGTGAGCTTGGCTCTAGTTATACGATTTTTCGTTGTCTCCAAAAAAAGTTACATGATTTTCGCCCAATTTTCATGATTAATTAGACAATAATCTTCTTTTTACAAATAATGATAAAGGCAATGATATACACATACAACGCTTTCTTATTAGTGTCGAACAGGTATAGGGTACTACTAAGCGCCCATCTCGTTTGAATTGGTTTTACAAAGGTAGTATTCCATCTGTTTTTTTAGTTTGCATACAAAATTTGGTCAAAGTCAAACTTTATCAACTTTGACTAGGTTTATAGAAAAATATATCAACTTTCACAATATGAAAAGTAATAAAATATACTTTTAGTATTGTAAATGTTGATATTTTCTTTCTACAAACTCAGTCAAACTCAAACTGTACAAAGTTTAATTTTGACCAAATTTTACTTGCAAACTAAAAGAAACGGAGGGAGTACTATGTTATGTTTCTACCCATAAAAATCTTAATTTGTTCTACTTTGATGGTTGCTTGTCAGAATATAGCTTCCACCGCATCAAGACTAATTTAGCATTTTGGTTGGCTGCTTTTATTTTTTCTTTGTTGTCGAATAGGAT